GGATCCCCTTACTTCTCTTGGAAGAGAGAAGGAGAGGATCTTTTGTACTGACTGAGAGTTACCCTGGGTAATATTTTCTTTCATCTGAAGGCTTTCACTGCTAGTTTTCATTCGAATGGCATCTTGACCTACTCCTTTAGCATGGGTATGTTGCTGAAAGGGAGTGTATCCATCCATGTATCTTCTATGAGATAAATCAGAACTCCCATTCTCTACATGTCTCCCCATAACATGCGATTTTTTCAGATGCATGTCTTTTGTTGTAGCAAGTAGGGATGCTGATGGTCGCCTTTCGGGCAGGAATACAAAGTTATCCGACATAAGATTCATGGAAGAGGTGCAGTTATTCATAGTTCCTGGAATCTGGTTTTCTACCTTCAATTTGCTATGTATGACACTTTGCTCTGATGGCCTGGCTTTAAAACCCTGGCTAGTTCCAGGGACCATAGGTTTCCCTTGAGAATCAAAATTCATATTGATCCCTTGCTGCATCTGCTCTTGTTGACCACCTGCTTTGCATTGGTTTTCATCCATGGTATTTTCCGAATCAAAATCTAGAGCTCTTTTGCATGATTTTGCACCTTTTCCACCATTAGGGTCTATTGTTTCCCTTGCACCGTCTCCCAGTGGACTTGGGGATTCCTTTTGAACACTCTTTCTTACATACTTCCTCTTCGCTGGTTGGCTCTCCTTAGACTCTGTATTGTTTGGAGTTGCAGGCTTTGGTGTCCCTTTGGGCTTGCCTTCTCTGATTACCTTGGGCCTGTGTTTTCTTCGCTTTGGTGCTTTCTGCTGCGGTGTAATGTTTAGATCAATCCCTCTGTCACCTTCCCTGTCAGAATCTTTGTTTTCCTTGTACGGTGTAGAAATGGCTGCAGATGACGACTCCACAATGTTCTGCAAGAGTTCGTCACTATATTTTTTAATTGCTTCATCTTCTATAGACATGGTTAGTTTCACCTGAATGTCTTTTTCCTTGCCAGAATCTTCATCCTTCAAGAATTCCAGTATTGCAGAAAGCTGGTCGTTCTCCAAATTCTTGTTCTGGTCTGTTGTGAACTGGTGTTGCCTGGCAACACATGGGGAAGCGTCAGCTTTTATTCTTGGTAAGGAGTTTAGGTCACAGCTTGACAGGAGTGGTGAAGGGAAACCATCTGTGCAGAAAAACAGTTTTTCTGTCAAGCAATTTTAACAGCGAAGGGATTTTCAGACTTGTATGGTCATTAAGATATTTTGTCCCTTAAATTGAACTTGATTATGATTTCAAGACCACTCAAAATGCAGTATGGCACAGCCAAGTGATAAATGTTTCTACTTCGTAAATTTCTGATTTTCGAAAGAACTCAAATGAGATTGAAACATTTCATGCATTGCTTATTTCTGTTGGTTTATTGCCTAAGGCTGTTGTACGGTGCAAGTGTGAAGGTTTTAGGCTTTCAAGTGCAACTAGCCACTGGATTTTGAGAGGCAACCATCACATCTATGTTTAAGTGGGTAGACTCTAGGGAGGATAATACTAAGAATCACAATTATCTAGCGGCTTTCAAAATGTGTTACGATGCTTTCTTTGCCCCGCTTCCCGCTGCTTTTCTTTTGTTTTAGGTTAACATCATCCAGTAACATCAAGTCATTCCTCAAAGGTAGTGTTCGTGCCAAAATGAAGCTGGTTTAAGCATATTTTGTTTTTGTTTCTATCAAGTCATTCCTCAAAGGTAGTGTTTGTGCCAAAATGAAGCTGGTTTAAGCGTATTTTGTTTTTGTTTCTTGTTTGGGTTTTTTTAATCTACATTAGAAGTCTTGTATCATAAACAAGTTATAGTGCATCGTTGCTTCAAAGCTATAAGAGAAACATAAAGACACGATTGTTTATGATGTGAATTATTACATTATTATTAAAACTTTCTTTTTTAAATGCAATGAATACGTGCAATTGAGCTGATACATGAAGATGTGAAAGTTCCACTTGGAAATGATCTCATCTATGATAATATTCCAAATTTTGAATCAATTATTTGTCACATAAAACATGATTTTTGTGACTTGAAAATGATTTGTGGTACATGATATCAAATGCCTGCTCATTTCGTTTCTCTAAAGTTTCGGTTTTTTATGAGTCAAAGAATAGATGGTCGAAATCTTTCTTTGCAAAGTATGACACAGATATGAAATGAGTTAAAATGCTTACACCGGCATGTCTGGGATGAGCTGTCACCATTACTCAATGGGTTTGAATTTGAACTTGAACAGTGATTTTGATCCGCAGATAACCAATGAACTGAGTTGGAATCTCTACAACTGTTGTCAACTTGAGAAGGAAAATCCATAACCAATGATGTGCTCATCACATTACTTGAAGGATATGAACCATTGCTGCAATTTTGGTCAGTTAGCAAGAAACTGCCCGGGGTGATTCCTTGGTTGCTCAATTGAGGATGCAACTTAGGAATTTGATTTGTCTTTGTTGCTACATCCACACTACTTGAAGGATATGAACCATTGTTCCAATTTTGGTTGGTTAGCAAGAAATTGTCCGAGTCAATTCCTTGGTTTCTTAATTGAGGATGCAACTTGGGAATTGGATGTGTGTTCACTGCTATGCCCACATTACTCCAAGGATATGAACCATGGTTGCAATTTTGGTTGGTTAGCAAGAAACTGCCCGAGTCGATTCCTTGGTTGCTCATTTGAGGATGCAACTTAGGAATTAGAGGTGTGTTTGCTGCTATGTCCACACTTTTGCTCGGGTTCCTGTTTGCAGAGGCAACATACGCAGCATTATCATGTAGCAGCTGTTGTGTCATTAGATTATCGTTCCAACTTGAGCCCTCATCAAAGAGCAACTGTGTAAAGGATCCTGCATTGTAGGAGTCCGAAATGTGATTGATCATTTGAATGTTCTCCCCCGGACTTTCATCAAAACCATTTCTAAGTAGCTGATCATTTGAGCAAACAGGTTGAGCCATGCCATTGTAACTAGCCCCCACCGGTACATCCTCCCTTGAAATTCCAGTCAACTGCTGTTGCCAATTTCCTCCTTGACGGAGGTTCCCATAAAGGTTGACCGGGACCGGATGAGGCTTCACTGGAATCGGCTTCTGTGGAGTCACCGGTACCCAAGAATCCGTGACTCGTAAATCGTCATCCTGGGGAATCAAAAATCCCCCTCCAAATTTCATCCTTGATTGATTCCCTACAATTCAAACCATCCAAGTCTCTTTTGACTTGTCTGTTACATTAATCTCTGCTAACATTCTCCCTTGCCTCCCTCTAATCAGATAAGTTGGGCCGAAAATCGAAAACAGCCGGTTTTCCTGTTTCTTATCCCCATTGCCGGAAACAACCGGTGCCAAAACACCCAAATACTCTCCCACCTACCACGCAATGCATAATACAATCAGCATCCGCTCGATACCGGAAAATCGCTACAAATTACCATATCGACATTCAAATTCCGGAAAGAAACACAAATCGGAAAATTTCAGAAATTTTTCAGAGACCAAGTCTCCCACCTAACATGTAAATTACAGAGAAAGAATATTCGATTTCTGAAATGTAAAAACGCTTACAGAAATAGCAAATGTATTTGACGGGAGGCAGCGGCTCGGCTCTCTCCGATCCGGCGGTGAGACGACTGAGAGTCGTCGGAGCTCGGTCAGTCAGTCAATGCCGGAATTTACAGTCAGTTTTCTTTCCACCAGTAGAATGGGAGTTGTAGAGAGAGAAAGAGGAGAGAGAAAGAGGAGAGAGAGAGAGAGTAGATGACAAATCAGTTAAGACTATGTTGTAAACTTTATATATTAAATGGAAACTTAATATGGGCACCTCCTGAATTAGTGAATTTTATTCGATGGGCGCCCGCGGCATGTACGGGTAAAACGAATTTTCGGAAACTGCATTTACTTTACTACGGTAGTTTGTTTCAACAATTTAGTACATCTCATTTATTGGGGTACTTGAATGACAGTGGTAATTGGTAAAACCGTAATAATTTACACTGATGGTAACTCAAGCTGTAGTTTTAGTGAGAGAAGTTATCAACAAATGAAACATTGTGACGTTGGAGGTGATATTGAAGTTCTTTAGTATTTATTTTTTGTATATTTTTAGTAAAAATATTAGCGAATTTTATAAAAACACTTGAAATGCTTTCTGTAAAAAGAATAGAACTAATATTTCCTCCAAAATGCATTTCAAGTGCTTTTGAAATTCAAAAACGTTTTCATCAAAAGCACTTTTATTCATTTTAACGGCACATTTACGTAAAAGTAATTGGAATTAAAAAAGAAATTGAACTTAGATTACAGAATACTCAATGTTACCAAATATAAGAGAATCCAAAATTTTATGGGACCCACACAAATTTTGGAATCCAAAACTCCAAAACTTGGGGAACTTGCAATTTGGTGGTATTTGACTTTTAGGTTATTAGAGAGTGGATTTTCTTCTCCATTATACTCTCAATTTTTTTCTAAAATTTCATTATCCCCTTTCGTTAACCCAACACCACCAACCGATGCCCAGCAGAACTTTCCCTCTCCTTCCCTTCCGCCGCAAACACCTCCCTCTCCTATCCCACTCCTTATCCTCAAGCCATCCTTCCCTAACACACCTCCATATCCTGCGGGTACATGATATATTAGGTGACTTAATCACGATTAACATTAAATAATTACGAGTGCAAAAAAAAAAAAAAATCAAGTGCCACAAAATAAATCTAATGCGGACTCATCTGTGATGAGTAGGCACAAAGACAAAAGTTAGTTCATCATAGACACAACTAAGTAGTGATGGATGCGGGACTCTATTTCTATAGTATCCCAACAATAACGCGCGCAATACCAAAATCTTTTTCTAGTTTTTTCAATAAGGCATTTCGTCAACCATTTGGTTGACCTTTACCGTTTTATGCCTTTTCCACATCCCCATTCTTTAATGCTCTTTTAAATGTCTTTAGATCAATATTGTTATCGTGAATAAAACAAGGAGTTAAATCATATATATGTATAGAACCTGTAGCTCAACTTTATAAGACGAGTAGGATTAGAGGAAACGATAACCCACTTTGTAAACTACCAAAAAACATTACAGGAACTAGCAACGACAGAAAAGTAAGAGCAACCCTTTCTACTTGAAATTGGAACTTCTAAAATTTCTTTTCACTTCCTCCCTGTTCAAAAAGTCTGAAATAGGACTTCACTTCTAAGGGGCGATCAGCCTCATCACGTAGCTTTCTTTCCATCTTACTGTGACTTCGATCGACAATGTACATTTTCTGTATAAATTTTGCGTAACACGCAGAAACCCCGACAGAAGAAACAGCTTAAAATGAATGAGTGTTTCATGGTTCTCAAAACAAACAAAAGAACTTGCATAAGTCAGTACATGTGCTTTCTCATTGCGCAACGTAACTATAACTCGCAAGGATTAGTGATTCAGTTCCGGAGAAATGCCACAGTGGCAACGCGCGATCCAACAGATCCACCAAACGCGAATGTTGGATATGTGCGGACATGACTAAGGTATTGAAACTTAGGAAGATCTCTGCTTGTTTCGTGTTCCTGGATGACACTTCTTTGATTGAAACTTTCCACTTCTTGAACCAATTCATCCTTTGTGTTGTTACATGATGTGATCACCTACGAAGGTGTTCCCCAAAGCAATGAAACATCAGGTAGCGTCGAACGAAATAAAAACTTCTTACAGAGAAATTTAAAGGGAAAAGAAAGAGTGCATGATTCTGGTACGTGCCATAAGCAATTTCAAATAATTAAAAGTGCTTCTCATATCACATGGCCGAAAACAAAACCACAGCACTTTCAAAGTGAACATGCAGGAAGCGCTATGGTTCATAACGACATACGTTATCTATACTCTTCCTTTTAGCACTTGAAAGCACGCCCTAAATGAAGGTAAGTGCAGTTTTAAGTAACAAGTATTAACCAAAGTGAAGATGCTTACTACTAATCCACCAGGAGCCACCAATTTTGAAACGGAATCCCAATACATTACCCTGTATAACAAAAACACAATTTCACACTCTAGTTTCCTTCTATTCGATAACCACAAGCGATTAAATAGGCTAAACAAATCATTCATACAGACATGGAGGAATTATCAATCAGAAAATAGATAAAGAGTTGCAGACTATGCTGGCTTTTACCTTTTGATAGAACCGTCTGGATGCAATCCAATGGCATCCAAGGTTCCTTTGTCCACAACTAGTTTGAACTGCCTGTCCAACTTGGTCTCTAGAATATCATCAACCTAAAAAATAGTGGCACACAATTCATTAAAAATTATTGGGAGAGAATGTATTAAAAAAATAGTTTAATGACGAGCTAGGTTCAGATGACATTAAAGTAAGAAGAGAAATTTCATTGAATAGAAATATACAAACGTCCAAGAGGATAATTGAAGACAGCAGGTTATAATCTGATATTTTTTGTCTAAAGTCTAGACACACCAGAAAACATTTGCCAAAAGAAAAGGCATACCAAAAAATTAATGTTTGGCAATCCATCACGATCAGCAAGGCTGCGAGCGAGATCAATCGCCCCTTCACTATAATCAGTTCCTGTTAAATCAGAAAACCTGAACCCAAAACACCAGAATTTCATTCATTAAGGTCTCTGATGTGACAACAACAACAACAACAACAAAGCCTTTTCCCACTAAGTGGGGTCGGCTATATGAATCCTAGAACGCCATTGCGCTCGGTTTTGTGTCATGTCCTCCGTTAGATCCAAGTACTCTAAGTCTTTTCTTAGAGTCTCTTCCAAAGTTTTCCTAGGTCTTTCTCTACCCCTTCGGCCCTGAACCTCTGTCCCGTAGTCACATCTTCGAACCGGAGCGTCAGTCGGCCTTCTTTGCACATGTCCAAATCACCAGAGCCGATTTTCTCTCATCTTTCCTACAATTTCGGCTACTCCTACTTTACCTCGGATATCCTCATTCCCAATCTTATCCTTTCTCGTGTGCCCACACATCCCACGAAGCATCCTCATCTCCGCTACACCCATTTTGTGTACGTGTTGATGCTTCACCACCCAACATTCTCTGCCATACACCATCGCTGGCCTTATTGTCGTCCTATAAAATTTTCCCTTGAGCTTCAGTGGCCTACGACGGTCACACAATTGCTCCGGTCATTAGTGTGGATAAGTATATAAATGGATAGAGATAGGAAAGCAAACACAAGATGTACGTGGTTCACCCAGATTGGCTACGTCCACGGAATAGAAGAGTTCTCATTAATTGTGAAGGGTTTACACAAGTACATAGGTTCAAGCTCTCCTTTAGTGAGTACGAGTGAATGATTTAGTACAAATGACATTAGGAAATATTGTGGGAGAATGATCTCGTAATCACGAAACTTCTAAGTATCGGAGTGTGGTGTCGTCTTGACTTGCCTTATCTGTCTCATAGGTAGATGTGACATCTTCTCTGGAAGTACTCTTCCTCCATCCAGGGGTGGTATCTTTAACTGGTGGAGATGCACAAGGTAATGTATCAATTTCACTTGAAGCTTACTTGTAGTTTCAGGCTTGGTCAAGCGCGATACAAACCATGTAGTAGGAGTCCCCCAAGTCGCCGAGCTAGGGGGTCTGCTGAAAGAGGTGACAGACAAGGTAAGCAATCAGAGCTCCGACTGATTGTTCACCTTCTCCCCATCTTGCAGCAGCAATGAAGGATAAAGAGAAGAAAAATGAGAAGAGATGATATGAGATACTTTTGCTTTTGAAGAAGTAACTTTCCACAGGCTTATTCTTGAACTGAGCTGGAGGGTTTTCTGGTTTCCTCCAGAGTATAAGGCCGACTGAAGAATTTGAGGGTCAAAACAAGTCCATCAAATCTAGAGTACGTTCCACCCTGCTGATATGGGATACTTTTGCTTTTGACAGAGTAATGGATGTATCGGCACGTGTTGCTGTTACGCTTGTCTCCACATGCTTCCTTGTATCCTTCGCACTTGCCCTATCTATTCCTCAAGCAGATGCGGAATCTTCCCTGGAAACATAAGATGTTGAAGATGAGTACTCGAGAGCAATGCCAGGTAAGTAATCAGGTAAGGGGTTCCAGGTAGTCAGTTCCTGGCTGGAAGCTTGATTCCAAGTGCTGACTGATTGCTCTCTTTCTCCTTGTCTTGCAGGTAAAAACAAGGCCAAAAGAAAAAACAGGGAAAAAGCATGATATATGGGATACTCTTGCTTTTAACCCTGATGATATGAGATATTCTTGCTCTAGTATAGCTTGTTTGCAGAGGTATTATCGGGGGGAAAGAAAGCTGAATATTTCGAAAGGCTTTGTTGGGAGTGCCCTCTCAGATATGATGAAGGGTTGAGCATTTTTGCAGGTCTGCCTGTCCGTTGGGGATGGAGGTCGACATATATAGGAGTCTCCCTAACAACAAGTAGTAATGCTATTCCTTTACCCTGCTTGGTCATAGCACGGTAGTGGGAGCTGCCAGTTTCACATGTTTTAACTCTGTCAGAGCACTTTGAAAAAGTGGTCTGTGGTATCTGGCTCTCGAGATTCGGAGAACAATGCCTCTTCGATTTTTGAGAAAGCAATCATGCTGGGGGTCTGACTCTCGAGATTCGGAGAGCAGTGTCTCTTCGATTTTTGAGGAAGTAATCATGTTGGGAGTCTGGCTCTCGAGATTCGGAGGACGGTGCCTCTTCGATTTTGGAGCAAGCAATCTTGTTGGGAGTGTTGTCTCGAATGTGAGTAAAGGTTGGACATGTTTGCTAGTCTACCTTGCCACGAAGCACAAAGGTTGACACACAGGGACTTTCCAATTATCCAGCAATGGTACTGTTCCTTTACCCTCTCTTCGATTTTGAGAAAGTAGTCATGTTGGGAGTCTGGCTCTCGAGATTCGGAGGACGGTGCCTCTTCGATTTTGGAGCAAGCAATCTTGTTGGGACTGTTTTCTCGAATGTGAGTAAAGGTTGGGCATGTTTGCTAGTCTACCTTGCCACGAAGCACAGAGGTTGACACACAGGGACTTTCCAATTATCCAGCAGTGGTACTGTTCCTTTACCCTTGTGGGTAATAATATGGTAGCTAGACCTTCAAAATTTATGTGTCTAAACTTTGTTAGTGCTGTTTCTTTGCTATTCTTTTACCTTTTTTGGTCAGAGCGATGTAGTGGGAGCTGCAAGCTTCACGTGCTCAACTTTGGCAGAGAACTTTGGCAAAGTGATCTGTGGTACCCATGAGTTATTGTTGCGTGTGGGAAGTGGGTGATTGAACAGTAAGATTCATGTGCTTTCTACTTCACCAGAAGTCTTCGACAGAATGCCCATAATTTCTGCAAAGCTGAGTGTGCGTGTGACAGGTGCTGACAAGGCTAGAAAAGTAGGTGCCTCTTCGATTTCTGAGATCGGCCCTCGTGGTCTCTGAGCAGCCCAGCTTTTGTCTCTTCGATTGATTCGGAGAACGGTGCCTCACCGATTTTTGAGAAAGCAATCATGCTGGGGGTCTAGCTCTCGAGATTCGGGGAGCAGTGTCTCTTCGATTTTTGAGAAAGTAATCATGTTGGGAGAGTGGCTCTCGAGATTCGGAGGGCGGTGCTTCTTCGATTTTGGAGCAAGCAATCTTGTTGGGAGTGTTTTCTCGAATGTGAGTAAAGGTTGGGCATGTTTGCTAGTCTACCTTGCCACGAAGCACAGAGGTTGACACACAGAGACTTTCCAATTATCCAGCAATGGTACTGTTCCTTTACCCTCTCTTCGATTTTTAAGAAAGTAGTCATGTTGGGAGTCTGGCTCTTTAGATTCGGAGGACGGTGCCTCTTCGATTTTGGAGCAAGCAATCTTATTGGGAGTGTTTTCTCGAATGTGAGTAAAGGTTGGGCATGTTTGCTAGTCTACCTTGCCACGAAGCACAGAGGTTGACATACATGGACTTTCCAATTATCCAGCAGTGGTACTGTTCCTTTACCCTTGTGGGTAATAATATGGTAGCTAGACCTTCAAAATTTATGGGTCTAAACTTTGTTAGTGCTGTTTTTTTGCTATTCTTTGACCCTTCTTGGTCAGAGCGATGTAGTGGGAGCTGCAAGCTTCACGTGCTCAACTTTGGCAGAGAACTTTGGCAAAGTTATCTGTGGTACCCATGAGCTATTGTTGCGTGTGGGAAGTGGGTGATTGAACAGTAAGATTCATGTGTTTTCTACTTCCCCAGAAGTCTTTGACAGAATGCCCATAATTTCCGCAAAGCTGAGTGTGCGTGTGACAGGTGCTGACAAGGCTGGAAAAGTAGGTGCCTCTTCGATTTCTGAGATCGGCCCTCGTGGTCTCTAGGGAGCCCAGCTTTTGAGAAAGCGAGCGCCTCTTCGATTTCTGAGATCGGCCTTCGTGGTCTTTGAGCAGCCCAACTTTTGAGAAAGCAAACGGCTCTTCGATTTCTGAGATCAACCCTCGTGATCTCTAAGCAGCCCAACTTTTGAGAAAGCAAACGCCTCTTCGATTTCTGAGCAGGCGCCTCTTTGATTTCTGAAGCTCCGTCGAGTGCAGATTTTTATAGGGGCTGGCATTAAGTTCCAAAGCACACTTGAATCTCCACCAGTAGAAGCTTCATTCTTGCACTTCTAAGATCTTGATTTGTCCGACCTCTTCTCTCTTCAACACCTTTGAAAATGTCTGGCCCTCCGACCGTCGTTTTGACTTGAACTTTGGTGAAGAGGCAGCCATGCCTTCTCAAGACAACATATGGCGCCCATCCTTCTTATCCCCCTACTGGTCCTCTTACCGTTGGGGACTCTGTGATGAAGAATGATATGACCGCTGCGGTGGTGGCCAGGAACCTTCTCACTCCCAAAGATAACAGAATACTTTCCAAACGGTCTGATGAGTTGGTTGTTAAGGATTCTCTGGCTCTCAGTATTCAGTGTGCAGGTTCTGTGTCTAATATGGCCCAACGCCTATTTGCTCGAACCCGCCAAGTTGAATCATTGGCGGCTGAAGTGATAAGTCTCAAACAGGAGATTAGAGGGCTCAAGCATGAGAATAAACAGTTGCACACCGGCTCGCACATGACTATGCTACAAACATGAAGAGGAAGCTTGACCAGCTGCAGGAATCTGATGGTCAGATTTTACTTGATCATCAGAGGTTTGTGGGTTTGTTCCAAAGGCATTTATTGCCTTCGTCTTCTGGGGCTGTACCGCGTAATGAAGCTCCAAATGATCAACCTTCGATGCCTCCTCCTTTTGAGGTTCTGCCTAGTACTAAGGCTCCGAATAATCACCCTCCGGTGCCTTCTCTTTCTGGGGCTCTGCCGACTGCTGAGACTTCTCCTGAGCAACCTTTGTGAAGGCTCCCTCTTGTTTGTTTATTTTGATTCATGTATATGAACATATTTGTAACTTATCGGAGATATGAATAAACAAGTTTTGCTTCATTTCAACGTATTGTGTTAAATACACCAAAGGCCTTCTTCACTAAGTTCTTTGAATTTTTCTTTTGTTGAAGCTTGTATGTTGAAGCTTTGTGAGTGAAGCATGTAGGTTGAGGTAGTGCTCCCTTAATTTCCCGAGTGAGGAAAACTTCTTGGTTGGAGACTTGGAAAATCCAAGTCACTGAGTGGGATCGGCTATATGAATCTTAGAACGCCATTGTGCTCGATCCTGTGTCATGTCCTTCGTTAGATCCAAGTACTCTAAGTCTTTTCTTAGAGTCTCTTCCAAAGTTTTCCTAGGTCTTCCTCTACCCCTTCGGCCCTGAACCTCTGTCCCATAGTCGCATCTTCTAATGTGACAATTTAGAAAAACAACGGAATTCAAGTCATTAACTAAAATTTCATGAAATCATGGACTGAATTTTTATTTACAACACTCCCAGCCCTTCTTCACAACCATCCAACAAGGAAGGAAAAATAAATCAAAGGACAAAAAAGGACATTCATCAAGCATAGTTTTTGGAATGATATTCTTTTGGGGTGAATTGGGGACCAAAGACAAACATAAATTACATAGGAATGATCCTAGGGCCTAGGCTAGGCCAAACCATAACATTGACATCAGCAACTAAAATAGTTTCAATTGAAGCAGGTTGGCTGAAGAGGAGTCCTTATAGAATAATTAATTATTTTTTATTAAAAAAATTGAAGAAAGAAAGTTTTTGAGATTTCTAGATTAAATATTGGAAGGTCCTTCTAAAAATTTTCATTGACTTTAGCCAGTCCGTTAGGTTTAGCACAAACATGTTGAACACAAATAAAAAGGTTAAATGTACATTTCCAACAAATCATGCCCTCTTCAAGACAGGATTGATTCTTGGAGGATGAAACATAACAAAATAGTGAAATACCCAACCATAAGGGTAAAGGAAGCATCATCTAACAGCGGCAAATGTGTCGTATGTGCAGTGGTGACAGTGATTGCACTTGAAAGTATGTAGGTTAGAAAAACTTGATAGCAGTGTTGATTCAATTATCAAGGACTGGAGTATGATAAGAAAGTCTAAAACATTATAACAATAAGGCCCATGTAATACATGCAATCTCATAATAATAAAATAACTAGCATAATCAGAAGTCAATAACAAGAATAATAATTATATTAATAAAATCAAGTTCATTATTAACCTATTAATTTAAACCCTAACCTAAATCGTTCTGAATAAATTAAGGGGTAATTAGATTGAGGGCACAACATATTTTCAATTCAAAGATTGAGTCTGTCAATATTTTGTGCTTTTAATGAGAGGTCAATTAAGAGACATTTTAGCAAGTGTAATTGAGCTGGAAATGAAACTTGTAATTATTGATCTTAGTTGAAGAGAAAAATTGTTTCTAGTAACCTATGTTAGAAAATGAAATGTCCATTGACCATAACTGAAAATATGAAATTATTTATTGGCATACAACAAATTTCCTACTAAATAATTATAATTAAAGTTCATTTAAACATAAATGGGGGTAAGGCTAGCCGACATTCACCTCTCCCAGACCCTGCGTAAAGCGGGAGCCTTGTGCACTGGGTACGACCTTTAAAGTTCATTTAAACATAAGTAGTTTTTAATCCTGCATGTATCCTAAAATAAGTGGAACTTTTTTTTTTTGGTGCATCACTCATTGCATGCTCTTCAAGACTAAGCCACAGAACCGATTACTCTTTTCTTCTAAGTAACAGGAACATAATATCATTAAAAAGAACCGAACAATAGAGAGGACCTAGTTGTCAACTGAACTAGCTACAAGATGCTAGCTAAACAATTCAACAAAGACTGCAAAATGTAGCTAAGAAGCAAAGAGGACCAATAAAAAAACTACTGTACAGTAGAGTTCCAGCAATACAATATAGCTCAAAAAGAACTATTCCCAAATTCTGGAAATACCGTCGTACTGACACCCAAAAAGAGCCCAAAAATGACCTCCTACTGCCGAGAAGATCCACCTCTTCATTCCCTTGCTCCCTCAAAATTAAAAAACACTTCTATTCTTTAATATCCATACCATCCATAAGATTTCGATTCCATGACAGCACATCTCCCTAGCACCATGCCCATCTTTTTCCATAAAAACACTTAAACCTCTCAAAGAATAATGCAACACAAGAAGCTAGAGTAATGAGAACAATAAATTGTTCTATAAGACAGCCAATGACTCTGTTAGCTCCTCCTCCTGATCATTCAAGTTTCTACATTTAGATCCGAAAACTTATTATACACTGCAAATAAATATTTAAGCACATATACACTTCCATCAAATTTGTTACCGATTTATCTTAGATAGTTCACTTTCTTCACTGCTACATCATTCTATTAAATCTAAATGCACAATTCACTTTACCCAAGTAGCGTATAAATACTGAGACTCTCATCTATGGGCAACTTGTTGACCTTAAAATGAGACCTGCGGAAGCCTTATGGTCTCCAATCTAACATTCCAATCTGACATATGATTCACCTAGTTTGCATTTTATTTGCTTCCATACAGGAATTTCAATCTAATTCAGCACAGAATACCAGATAAAGTTGAAGAATAAAAGAATACCCCTGCTTGGAAAGTGCTTGAAGAAGCAATCCATTGCCAGTCCCGATGTCAAGTACACTCCAGCCTGAAAGATACTTATCACCTTGTTCCACAGGATCAGACTTATTATTACCTTGTACCACAGGATCAGACTTATTATTATCATGATTTGGTGTGCGACCTTGAGAAATATCAATGCATAAGCTTTTGGTCCAAGAGGAGACAACTTCCATGACATTAGCTCCGAACCTGCAGAAACAGAGGGCTGAAACCATCAAACGCTCCACGTCTTACAGTACCTACTCACTTTAACACAAAGGGAAACTAAATACGAATCCCTCACTAATGTGGAATTATAAAAGTAAGGATTAAAGGTTAACAAACTCTGGTAAATCACGACAAAATTGATTTGCACAGCTGATAATATTTTATCATCGACTCCTTTTCATTTTATATAGTTGATATGTAAAGGATATCAATCTTGTTAACACCTTTTTCTTCAATCTCCCCTCACTATTTTGAATATCATTTTCCTAAGGCTCTTTGAAAGTAGCAGTAAATGCATATCATATAGCTAATTAGTATGTTACTAAAAATTAACTCATGTGATCTTCACATGACAGTGTTTAGATAATTTTTAACAGTTTTGGTATTGTGGTTGTTAGCTAGTTAGCTTCAGTTAGCTTAAATATATAAGCTAATAATAATTCCTCTGTAATACCAGAGTTTATCAGATTCATTTTAATTTCTGGGACAATACTAAAGCTTTCTCTCTATAATCTCTCGCTCGCCCTTCAAGATTTTTCTTCGATTCTGGATATTTCGGGACATTTCTTTGATGTTAGCACTTGGCTGTTTTCTGCTGTGCCCCAAAGCCATAACAAATGAATAACAAGTTAATTTGCACGGTTGCGAAAAGCTTACCAAACTTCACCGGTATGACCATGTTCCCGAAAATTCGCCAACTCATCGGCATATGCAGCATCCCAGTAACTCTGAAGACCTAGCATTGATGTCACTCCTTCAGCATCTGGTTCCTCCTTGTCAGAACTGCAAATACCACCATATCAAAAGAAAATTTTCTTCCTAAACTAATAGCCTATGAATTCTTCCTCTAAATTCAGAATTGCAAAAGCATAAATACAACAAGCTATGCAAAAACTTAGTCTTAATAACTTAATTTTGCACTAATTAATTAATTAGTTAATATTTCATTTACAAAGATTTTCCTGGAAACCAAACAGGAAGTGAAGGGGAAGCAAACCTGTACTCGGAGGGGGCGCGAAGGTTAGCAGCAGAAAGGTCCTCGGCAGCGTCGGCGTGGCGCTGGTCGTCGTCGAGAGTGCTTCCGTAGTCACTCTTGATGGACCATGAGTCGGCGGCGATTGAGCGGTCGTCGTCGGAGACGAGATCAGGCGGTGCTGCTCGGCTCTGCTGTGATATCTCCGAGTCATCTGGCCCCAACCGGAATCCTGCCATCGCTGAACAAACTATTGGATGTTTGAGGGAAGGAGGGGGAGAGAGATGGACTGGCTGACTGATAGAATAGTGAGGATTCGTCGAATCGACGTTTATCAAACGTGGAGTGCTACTGGAGTAGTGGACTTTTTTGGGATTTGGGTTTTGGATCTTGGATTTGGACAACCTAAAATTGGACCAGTGCACCCTCTAGATTCGGTTAAGTCTAGCTATTAGTCCATCCCCAACCAAACAGACTAAACATAGGCGCGTTTAAATTTATAGTTCTGTAAAAATTTATATTTTTAATGAAGTGTTGGACCATTTTCATACACTACTTCAATCAAAGAGCTAAACATAGCCCCTTAACATTTATTAGTTTTAAGTTGGACTTTGGACAAACTTGATATCTGCCAAATAATTCTTATACAAAATCTCCCTTAATAATTCTCACGCGCTTTCTAGTTGTGAATTCTTGTGAGGGATTTGTATTTCCTCGTGGATTTTTGAGGTGCATGCTCATCTTCCACTCAGCTGTCAAGAAACCCACAAAGCCCCAATGTTGCTGCACCACTACTGCAGAATGTCTTTCGATGTTTGGACCTACATTTCAAACTTACGATAACATATAATTCATCTATTTACAATAACAGTTTACCCAACATTACAATTTACAAAGAAATTGGTTACAAGGGCATAACTTTGATACATATGTGTTGACCCTAAAAATTACAAGGCGTAGGTTGAGCAACTACCGAGTTAACTACGTCCTTCTTGTGAATGCAGACATGCCAACTCGTGACCGAGCTTGGATGGGTGAGTAGAATACATGTGGTGGTATGGTGTTGAGCGTGCTACTGATTTCTACACTAAGTGATTACGGCCAATGAAGGAACACTTTGGGCCTAAGGTTCTGGAACATGAAAGCAAATTGCATTTATTGTGAACTTCAATAAAAGATTCGACTTTTAATGTGTTGAACATTGAGTAACATGAGTAACACCTTCTTTCGCCAAGAAAGCTAATAAAGTGACCTCATTCAGCAAGAGAATCAATGACTCCTCACTAACAAAGACTTGGATATGTAATCAACCGAAATAGAAGCACCGTTATTAGTCTAAACTGAAGATGTTCCTAGGTCGCCTAATTCTACGATTCCAGTTATGTTAATTCAAATAGAAGATGTGTGGCAAAAGGGTTATGATAGTTCTGGCTCGTTTACATAACTATAATCAAACTAGGAGGAATATGATTGAGGATGAATTAACTTGAGGAGTTGGAATGAGGAAGAGTCATAATCTGATTCATGTCGAAACTGTTTACTTAAATGTTCTGGAATTGAAGAAGAAGTGAATTGAGTTAATATAAGTTGTTTATTAATTCATCTGAATTCGAATGTGATTTAATATGATTAAAAAAATACCCCTGTTGTTTTTTGTTTTATTATATCCCTGTATTTATTTTTAATAACATTTCAATTAGTTATTTTTATTTGTTTAGTTAAAGTGAAGAGTTAAAATAGAATTATTGTAAATAGATTAAACATGCAACTCACATATCAAAAAGGGATGACTCGACTAGAGTTTTTCGCAGTCAAATTTTATCAAACCATGCCCCCCAAATCAACACCATAATCCACCAAAATTTCCAATTATTTTTTTACCAAATTCTTGAACAAGAATTTTCCAATGTCGTTTCGTCTTCATTTTGGATTCAAACGATGGGAAAAGGGAAAGTTCAGCAAGTCCACTGCCCATCGCCAACTCTCCACTCTCGAAGATCTTCTTGCTGGCATGACACACTCCCATCCGGAATGTCCACATGAATTCCGAATCGAATTATGCTAGCTGACATCCGGAAGGTGACGAAGCCATAAAGTGTAATGAGGTTGAAAATGTGAATAAATTTAAACTTAAAAGTACCTAAATATAAGAGTGCATCAAGTGTGCCGACCTAGTACCCCAAAAAAAAAACGCTTAAACCCAAACTCGGCCCAAACCTTTGGCCTGTTGACCCGATCTGGCCCATTTCCGAAAATGGATATGAAATATTCTTGGAATATTCTCTGGAATATTTTTTGGAATATTCCAAAATATTCCTTGTGTTGACTTTTAAGAAATTTTCTCAGAAACCCTTATAGGCTAATTTCGACGCCCCAAGTCTGTTTTTGACATCCATTTAATGAAATTTCAAAGTTTTAACGTAGTTGACCGCCTTGGAGGCATGGTTGACTATTTCAGGTTGACCGTTGACTTTTTATGAAAATTGCCCAAGACCCTTCTTAACATATTTCAACGCCCTGATTTCAAATTCACCTTCCGTTTTCCTAAATTTAATCGTTTTAATTGAGTTTTACTAACGGGTCCCAATATTATGCTTAGGTGCGATTACTAACGGAGACTCCAGCTTTTTTAGCTCGAAAGGATGTGACATTGCAAGTATATGTGAGTGGCTCTTTTCTTTTATATAGTGCAATATTTGTTTAGTTTCCATATATACATCTAATAACAAATTTTTTATGTGATGCCATAATTAAATTAGCATTTATAAGAAATGTTGTAATAATGAGAATTAGGGAATCATTATCATCCTACGGGATGCACAGGTAAGCATACTATACATGGATGCCGTAATTATATTTATAACTAGAAATATTGAATTATTGTGACATGATCATATTTAGGCTATCTGCTCATCTTGTACTACACTGGTGTTAGTACTCACCCGGGCTAAGGTTAGGCTTCACGTGTATGTTCATATTGCACTGCACGCTCACTTTGGATCCATTGTAGGTGTCAATCATGTCCTAGATTGCTATAGGCAATTAGGACTCGTATGTGATGCGTATAACGCAAGTCTTCACGTGATTGTAGTACTGGAGTGTAAATCATTATTGCACCCAGACCCATTCATGGCAGAATATCTCTACATGAACTCATGTGTCAGCATATGTCGATAAGCACTAAATTTGATATGTTTGTTATGTGAGATTATGTGATTATTGGACGTTAAGTGTTTATTCACGAAATATTGTGACGTATTAAATACATGAGATATTGTAGACTACGGTAAATATTTTCATACTATACGTAGTATGCATATTTTGGAAACTATATTTGTTTTACGGTGATGAGTTATTATGTTTTTGAAAAGGTTTTTACAAAGCTGTATTTTTAGGCCCACTCACCTTGTTTATATTGCCCATCTAGTTTTTAGTAGCTTCGTATCAACGAATATTCTTAGCAAATCCCGGTATTGAAGATTACCTTCAACGGTATAATTTTTACCCTATCTCTACTATACTTTACTTATGCTCTAGATGACATGTGAATTGGGTTCAATCCTGCTCACATGCACACTCTTATATTTAGACACTTTATGACTTCGTCACTTTCCAGGTGTCAGCCAACACAACTCGATTCAGAGTCCAGGTGAACATTGTGGGTCGGGGTGTGTCATGGCATCCCTAGCTGTCCTCAAACTTTTTTTGAAATGAGAAGCTAAACATGGTGAAGTCGAAGTAAATTTTGTAACAAGTACCAAACAAGAGTTTAGAGATGAATCTAAAGAACAAGATGAGAAAAAGAAGGGGATTCTAGGGATTACTGAGATTGAAAATCCTAATTTGGTAAAGTCAAAGACAGTGAAAGCTCGAGAAATTGATATTGGAAGACAAATGGTGGTCTGGGCTGGGTTGGGGGTGGTCAGGTTAAAGTGTGCCTTAGATGGTTGAATGGTCGTGAGGAGAAGAGAGATGAAGATGTGAATGGCAATCTTGTAATATCTGAGATAAGGAGGATAATATAACGAGCAAAAATCCATTATGGATTCCTAACAACCCATAAACAAAATATCACATAAATTTAGGTAATCTAATTCCTCCAAATTTTGGAATTTGATTCCATAATTCGGGTTGGTCCCACAATGTTTTTGATTCCCCAATATTGGGCAAACATCAGGATATCTCGTAATCGAAAATCAATTCTGCCTTTTGATTCTGATTACAGTTACGTAAATGGGCCCTTAGTAAATTTTTAGGGGCATGAGAATGTTTTGTGTAAAGTGAGGTTTCGCGTAAAGTGTTTGAGTTGTTTTTTTTTTTGGTTAAAAAGGCTCTTCTTGTTGCACATCGTTCAACATTTATAGCAGTGAAATATTTGAATTTGTTTGATGAGCAAATGACAAAGCTCATCCTGATAATGTCATATATTTTCACGTTGATTCAATGAAGGACCATGTGATAATGTCTTAAGTCATGCTTCCTATTCCAATCAGGGGACTCCCTTATTCATGTTGTTTGTCCAAATGCATCATGCAATGATAAAGCAAATTACAATTCAATTGCATTACTACCTTTGACCATTATTCCATGTCTTTTTATATTTCATCTTTGACCAGCATGTAGCTGTGATCACATCACCAATCTTTGCATAATAATGTCATCCTAACCAAAGTCACCAAAACTAGAATATCCTTGGATAATGAGAAGGATCATTGCCAATCTCTGCATGCAATCCCATTCTAGAATTTTATTTATTTTTGTTCTTGTGTGTGTAGGGTGCAAAAAATCAGCAAGATCAATCCTTATTTTCTGACTAACAAATAAAATCCCTATCCAAAGGATAATTAAATAATCAACAATGGATAATGCTTGGGATGCATGGTCTATGTAGAGATTCAAATCAATCCAATTACTCGGTTGACTAAAAAAACTTAGCAAGAATATCATGGAGTCCATCTTTTTGTCAAGATCCTAAAAAACGCTAGGCGCTAGTCGGGATAGCGCCTAGCGCCTAGGCGGGGGTCTAGGCGGCCTAGGCGGATTTAGGTAAATTTCTTGTCTATCTTATAAATAAGAGCATATTAACACTTACAAAAAAATATAATTGTATGAAATTCATGGATAAGATAATAAAAGATCGAAAAAATGCAAAAGAGTATCCAACAAGTCCAAAATTTAAAAATACATTAAGCATATATGCCATATAACCATAGTGAGGAGTATTGTAGGATGATACATATACAACAAGCTCATAATTTAAAACCACATAAAATGCAAAATAGGAGGAAAATAAGGAAATGTAGTAATGTAAGATATTTATCTTTAGCATCCCGGAATTTAAGTTGATACACACCTATTCTATAAAATTAACAAAATTTCAAGGTATAAACATAGGCGCATGTAGTACCAACTGTGAATGAAAATGTCTGGACATGAGGGTGATAAAGC